AATAAGTACCTATTTAAGTACTTGTATAATATATATGAACCTATCTATAAGTTAGAATGACGTGTTTATGATGGTAACATGAAACTTGTCCATGTAAACACGAGATCATTAATCGTTGTAAATTGTATTATACGCCTGTTCCACGCTACAACAATTTGCATGTTGTTCACTACATGAAATTATATAATGAAATCTCAGTTTTAATGTAATTTGTGACAATATTCTGTTCCACATTTCATATTACATATTTACATACATATAAATAGGTACTTCGAGTTTATAAATGGAATAATATTTCACTACATTTTTTCTAGATGTAACTTCTAGTGTCAAAAAGTATCCAAAATTTGACTAAAATGCAACCACTGAATTGTAAAAATAATGACTATTAAATACGGATCATATTGATAGATACTACTTATAAATAGTTTGTGATTATTTCACACTCATAAGACATTTCTATTTATTAAAATTGTATTTAATTACTCATTTTTCTACGGCATCAAACAACATTTGATACAGTAATGTGTTCTAAAATGTTACCATTTTTCGCAACGTCAACCCAAATCATTCGAGTTATAATGTAATCACAAAATTCCCTATCGGCCTCTACGACTACATCTTAAATTACCTTAGTCCCAAAATAACTATTTACAAATAGCTTTATTTATCAAATAAATTTAATAGGATTCATCATCATAACATAAACATTTGTGCGTTTGTCATTGAATAATATATCTCGTTAATTTATTGCATCTTTTTTGAAATTACGTAGATGACATTTTTATTTCTTTACGGTGAGTATTTATGTGTCGATACTTTAGAGTAATGAGATTGAAATCTGCCTACGCAAAACTAAAAAAATGGAAGCAATATCATTTAATAAATCAACAAAATTTATATAAACAAAAAAGTAGTTTTATATAGATTTTTATTAAATATCAAGCTTAGATAAATAAATCATTATAATAAATGGCTATGAGCTCGTTGTTCAGTATAAATGCCTCTTGGAAAATTAATAGTTTAAATAAATCGTCATGTAATTTGACAAACATATAGTATTAATATGGAAAATGACATAGGCTACTTATACATCCCTTTCATTTAAAATATTCCAATCGAGCAAAGTCGCAAATATAGCTATAACTATACTTTAAAGTACCTTTGGTATTTAATATTTCTAGTTTCTACCGTTCTTTGATCTGTCATTCAATTTCTCGATTTATATTGAAGATAAAAGTGAGATACTAATTCTGAATAGTGAGTAGATATCGAGAGTCAAATTAATATTTTGTTTCATTTCGTACACACAGAGCAGAGAAAATATGCTGATAAATAAAACTATTTTAACTTTGTGATTAATTTCTTCATATTAAACAGAGAACATGTGCCATTTTCAAGCTGCTACTATTTGACGTGGGTTCTGTGATCTAAATCAAACGTGAAAGTTTTAATGGCACTACGAATCAACAGTATTACAGAATTAAAGTACCTACCAATTCCAATTTGTAACCGACTAGGAAATTCTTACTTTCTTACTAATATTTTTAAAAGCTTATTAAAACAACAACAAATAAACGTTTAAAATGAGTTTGTTGCTTTAGTGCTTCCTCAACCAACGTTCATAAATTTTGATGAACAGATAAGTAGTTAATGGCATATCTAGAGAAAAATATAAGCTACTTTTTACCCCGATCAATCAATATGTCTCGGTTATGCGTATATTTGTTTATGTTCAAACACTTTTCTGCAATTTATTCTATAATTATATTTTTCTATGCATAAATATTAAAGTTTCTAATTTAGCCAATATTTTTTTCTAAATTTTATAGTTATGTACATCCATACATACCCATGAAGATTTAGGTAGTGTCTACATTAGTTCAAGGTAACGATTCTGTACAAAACCTTTTATACTGTTAGGAATAGCAAACAAACTGATGTCACACGTAATGGAAAACGGTAACCGTTTGCTGACATAAACAAAACCATGTACGTCACACAATATAATAAGTACCTACTGCTTTTAATGTATCTGTGTGCTAGTACCATAGAGAAAATTTCTCTAGGGCTAAAACGAAAATACTAAGTACATGATGTGTTATCAAAACCTTTTTCTTTCTAGAATTTCAAGTATCTTATCTAAAAAGTAGTACTAAACATAAATTATTTATTGTATTTATTTCTATCTAATGTAATAAAATTTTCAACGCATGGGGGGTACTATGGGCGAAACAGTATATTCTGTTATGTCCATGGTACTGCTCATGTTTATAGGCGACGGTTACCACTTTCCATCAGGTGGGCCGTCAGCTTGTTTGCCATTCTAAGTTGTATAAAAAATATATATATATATATAAATATGTAAATAAAAAACACAATTTTATAGAATGTAATAGCCGTGAGTTTTAGTAGATAAGACTTATTTATTTATTTTATTTATACAGAATATTATAATTCTGTACATATATGTATGTATTATGTTTAGGTCTAATCGTACCCTGTATAGGTATATATAACTTTGGTAAACCAGTAAGTGTATACTTATATAGCTTTCAAAGGATAGACAATGTGATGAAATTATAAGATTTTTTTCTAAACTTTAGACTACTAGTATTACTACATGATCTTTAATTAAATTAATAATAGTAGTCATATCAAATCGATAGACACTAATCTAAGAAGCGTGTCGCTTTCTATTGCGACAACATTAGAGATAAATACGACGCGAGTGCATGCATATTACACCATTTGAATAAAAAGTTCGTTCTTAGCCTTCTAATAGTTTCAAATATGTTGTATTAGTTGAAAACAAGATACTTCTGATATACCATCGAAGGATACACATTTTTTTTTCGCCGATTTCAAAAAGAATGAGATTCTCCATTCTGTTGTAATTTTTTATGTTTATTACCTCATAACACTGTCAGTCGAAAATTCTTTTCTTATCTGAAAAAAACTTTTTTATAGTCTTAATTATGAAGAATGTGTATATATATATTAATGTATTACTATACTTATTTTTTATACCTATAATTTATTATTTTATAATTGTATGCTAAAAATTTGTTCTATTTCAAAACGCATCCTTAAGCATTTTAAAATATTATTAACTAACTAAAACTGACTAAATTGCCCCATTGTACGGTCCGTCTGTCTGTGTACCAAATTCCATTCAAATCCGTTCAGCCGTGATTACAATCCTCCAAATAACTGAACATCTTGAGAACATCCACATTTAGAATATTAGTAGGATATAAACACGAACGATGGAAAAGCGAACCTTTCACGTAATGGCAAACAATAAGGAAAATTACTCGATGGAATTACTACGATTTTTATAAATGCTACTGCCTATTTACATAAATTGTAAATATAATAGCTGTTTATATATAGAATGTAATTAAATCACGTAAAACTAAGAATTTACATTAATGGGATAGAAATTTTGTAAATCATAAATTACAACAATAAATATGAATGTATTTAATGATACAAATGAGTCTCTCCTACTAACTTTGAAGGGGCTATATTAATACAAAAAGCTCAAAATTTACTGTCTTCTTTCGACGCATTTATCTATAGTAAAAATGTTCAGTTTCGCTGATAGATCACTCCCTTCAATATTTCGTAAGTTTACAAAAAGGGAATTAAAGAAAATAAAGTAGGTGACATGTTGTAGTCCCATCTGGAGGTATTCCAATGTACATAAGCATCTACTCTAAATAGGAAAGTCAATTGTCAACTTCGCGAACGCATCGTGTGAACTATACCTTGGGGACAAATTCGAGGATCTACTCATGTTTTTTCTTGTTAGGTAGACACAAAACGTCGCTATATTAAAACTTAATGTTTTAATCAAAAATACCTTATCTATTAATATATAAATTTTAATTTCCTATTATTGTATTCCTTGGCTCCAAATACAAATACAGCAGAATGCAGATCCATGTAGACGAGTTTCGTAAAAAAGTTACGTTTGGATTTTATATTATAGAGCTTATTATATTATAAAATACGTATATATATATATATATATATATTAATCTATAAATTTATAAAATAAATAGTGACGGCCTTATACCTAATAGAACTTTAATTATATAGATTATAATACATTTATCTAATAAACTGAGAAAAACAGCGCAATATCTGAATTATACAGTCGATTACATAATTCATTAAAAATATTACCCATAAGAAACAATGTACGAGTACAGGCTTAACCAGCGGGTCTTGAAGCATAAAATTAATCACTAGAGTTACATGCATAGGTAACATAAGTGTGCTCTAAAAAGAGAATTCTTGAAATTCCCACAAACAGAAAAGAGACAACGTGTTTAAAGCCACAGAAAACAACAATAAGATTGAAATACAGCTAAAATATTACATGAAAAAAAAAAAAACATAAATTCTATTACAATGAAACTAGGTACTAAAATACAATTCATTAAGGCGCTAAACTGGGACAATTTATTCTAATTTTGCGAATAAATGCTAATAAAACGTGGCCTCCCTTTTTGTCTCTATGTCTGGTTTATAATTAGTGTATTGTTTATATTCAAGTCACTTCACACGGAGAAGGTTCTCAATCCAACTCTATTTTTACGCGATATATTTTCGTAAATTCTGAACCACTTTTAAACATTCTATTTTTTTTTTATTGAAAGAATTTCTCTTGCTAATAATATTAATTTTGTAAATATTATTTAGTTTTTTCTTAATACTTTTTTTGTTTTAACTACATACAAATAATTTGTTATTCCTATAAATTTCATTTCAGCAGACTTTACTAAGATCTTTTAAATTTCTTTAGCTAAGTTTAAAAACTATGACTAAAACTTATGTTAAAAATAAACAAAAAAAAAATGTGATAAATAAATACTATTAAATAAGAAATAACAACTAAAAATTTTTAAATAAAACTAAATGAATACGTGGATATTTAGTTGGAGGCAAGTAATCATACTGCAAAATAACGTAATAAGTATTAGACATACCTAAGTTATGCGATGTCTGGATGCATTGCTCGGTGGGCAAGTTTGTCTACGGCGCTACGACAGTACTACAATCCGTGGCCGTGGGTCCATTTACCTCCGCCGGCGTACTATATTGTTAACTGTCACTCAAAACTATTCACAATGCATGCACTGGAGACCGTATGGTTTTCTTCCGCGCCGGTCGCGTACTGATTTGTTTACGGCGAGTGTTCACGAGTAGGGCGGGCGGCGGTGGTGTGGCGCGCGTCGCCTCTGCCGCGCTTGGCGCGCAACAGATAGTAAAGACCTATAGTCCAAGAGCCGAACGCCCGGGGTGTTGGTGTAAAGTGACGGCGGCGGCGGCGCGCACCTCCATCCCCTGCGCAACCCGAGATACGCCCGCTACGCCTCCTCTGACGTCACGCCAGAAAACCCCGAAACCCTCACGACCGTTCATCGTATTGCAACGCCTGGAGCTCGGTCAGCATAAATATGAAATTCAATATTCGGCTAGACTCGGGTATTTCGATAATCCCGTTATAATTCAATATTGTTTGAATTGCTTTATTGGAATTTACATGTAATATGCCAATACTGTCAATTTTTCCCGATACGAGCGCAAATGCTTGAAGAAAGTATAAACAAATAACTTTTCGTTGTTCAGATTTGTTTCTACTTTATATATAAGTGAGAATAACAAATTTTGTTTTATAAAGCCAAATTTGCAACACGAAACTAACTTTTAATATTAACTTGTAAATTGATTTTACTAAGTTAGTTTCAATATCCCGAACTAATTGAAATTAAGTATATGACACATATTATACAGGTGGGAGCAAAGTTTTAAGAATTTTTTTAGAAGTGACTTGAAACATTTTTCCAAAGAAGGATGATTTGACAAAAAATTTCAAGCCTCTCTCCCATATTTGGAATGGGCAATTCAAAATAGTAGGGAGCTTTTCAAGTCATATTATTGGAAAACAAATGGTCAAATTTACTGGTAGAATACTCCTAAAAAGATGCTAATGTGATATACATAAAATTAGATCTGCTAGTTTTATATACACACCATATAGCAATAAACGAAAAGTAAAGTATTTAAAAATTCTCAAACCACAGAAATTTCCCTTTTACACTATCGTAGGAATGACCTCACATGATATGATAGTATAAAACATACATACGATACTGTAATCTTGTTTACTGTCCCTGTTTTCGAAATAAGTGAATTGTTAAAGACAAGTCTCTAGACAATAATTTAAATTCCAGATAATAACAACCTATAACTCCAAATATGAGTCTTTCAATAAATTCTTTATATAGAGATATAAACAAGAGTGCGTTAAGGTCAGTGTGACTGACATTGTAAAAAAATGATGGTGCGTTTTGATATAATTTCTTTCAAAATTCACAACAATGCAATTTTGAATGGTTCACGTCTTTATGTAATTCTGTTCTTTACATATAGTTTTGTTATAGTTTTATTTGTATTGTTCTACGGTTAAAAAAATCTCTTTGAGTAACTCATAATAGTCTATACTTATTTTTTCAAACAAATTGCTGCCTTTATCATTTCAAAACATTGAATAAGCATATTTATTAGGATGGGTTATTTTTAACAATGTAGACATCAAACACTTGAAATAAAATCTAAATATAAATAAAAAAAAAGATAATAGCATTTTTTCGACCCTAAATAAAAATTAGTAGTTACTGAACAATGATGATGTTATAACCGATAAAATTCTTATGTAGAATATTTTTTTGTATTTTTGAGGCAAATCTTTTATTTATCATACGTACGTATGATACATAATGTTTCCACAGACTGAACTCTATTTTAGTAAAAACACAATGGAAATAATTGTATCAAAAGCCTGATCGGGTCCAAATAATTGATAAAGTGAGTGAAAAACAAACAATGACAAGTGTATATGAACAAAGAGAGTATGCTCGTGACAGCGTCGCCGGTAGTACAAGCAATAAACCGCCTTTGTAAGACATTTAATCCACTTAAGAGTTTGTAGCCCCTGTTAACAGATGTTGACCGACTTGTGCCCATTGCCGGTAAAAAATGTAGCTTCCGATTGTAGCCCTTCAACTATTAGGCAACACATTTCATATAATAAACAGACCTGCAGAATCTATTTTCTAACTCATTTCATAATTACACTATACTTTTTAAACGACTACCAGAAGTTTCTCAATTCTACTGAATTACGATATACTGTTTTTTTTATACAACTTAGAATAGCAAACAAGCTGACGGCCCACCTGATGGAAAGTGGTAGTCGTCGCCTATAGACATAAGCAGTACCATGGACATTACAGAGTATACTGTTTCGCCCATGATACTCCCCATGCTTTACCATTTCTAAGGACTCAGGTGTTATTCCTCTGTACCCTGTAAATTCACGTCATATCCCACTCTTCAAATCGAAACACAGCCATGCAAATACAACTGCTTTACGGTTGAACACGAATAAGACAGGGGTGCCCAAGCAAACGACTTTTGTACAAAGTCTCTCTCTGGTACAATTGTTATTGTTATTGTGTACTGGTTGTATGATTACGTCACCAATTTTGAACCAATTTTCGCGATTCTTTTTTCAGTCGGTAGAGTCGGTCCTGTTTCAATCTTGTGACATCGAGATGTAGACTTTCTACGAAACATATCGTAATAAGGTATGAATCATCCATGAATAGCGCCTTACTATCCGCCTCGACCCACTCAAAATGCGTAGATATGTTGCATCTCTGTGGGTCTTTTACCCAATATATTATGGCCAGAGCAATTAAAGCGACAATTTATCAGAATTGTTCGAACTGATATCTGCTGTTGTTTTTGCCACTGTACAACCCGCCACAAACTAAAGTTCCATCACAACCATCTGGATGAGTGGCGATCTTCCACCGTGCGTTTTTCAAGGCACTTTCTTCCACGCACAACCACTTATTGGACTCAACTTCAGGCAGCAGTATTTCCGAACCGATGCTACATCATAATCTTTAAGAAAAGTGCATATTCCTTTTCAAAAAGCCAGCAGCATACCAGCAATGCCTAAGGTATTGCGGGTAATCATGGGCGGCGGTAGTCACTTACCATGAGGTGAGCCGCATGCTCGTTTGCCCACTGTGTTATAATAAAAAAAAATGTACGAAACATAGTTGTTTATAGATACATTCAATTGAAGCCACTGTTTTGCAGAGTAATTTTTCAAATATTTTGTTCTATGGATCAAAATTCTAACGTAAAGAACATCGTTACGTTATCCACTATATCCTGGACCGTATAGGATTTGTAAACTATTATAATCTACAAATGGTAAAGTACTGCCACAGTGGTGTCAAATATACATATATTAATGTGTCCCCAACAACTAGGACTTATCGTAACAATTATATAATTTCCCATCTGTAGTTAAACGCGCCTACTAATTTCATAGTTAAGGTGATCTCTTGAGTATTGGTAATACGTAAATGTACATTTCTCGTATTATATCCGGAGATCACGTAACGTACATGTTCTAAGCCACTATTTATCTATGTCAATCAATATGTCTCAGTCACGCAGATAAACTTGCTGGCAGTAGCTGGAAGATAAATAAGTAACATTCCTATAATTATAACGTCCTACCGCTACATATTTACTGTATAATAGGGCTATTCCTATATATAGATAAGGCCCTGCATACATAGAGATATTTAACTTTTGGATCAATCGAAACGATAATCTTAACGATTCATATCTAATTATATCAGTTCCTCATTTTCAAGAGAAGAATATACACTATATATCAAGAACAGTAACTATGTATTGCATCTAGAAAGTATCATTCTATCTTGTTATATCTAGACGTGTATAATACGATTCGTGATAAGATTTTTATATCGAACGATCATTAATCACCCTATGTATGGGGTCTACTCTGAAAAGTCATGTAATTAATCAATCAATGCACTTTTAAACATCATATAATAATACAATGGGTGAATGTATGTGTACATGGTTTATTTATTAATGAATTTGAAGAACCAAGAAAATTGCAATGAGCTCTCTGCTTGGTTTTACGTTGAATTCAAAAGAATTCGTATTAAAAAGTGAATCTCGACTGTCACTGTAGTTCAACTAAAGGCTACTTACGAAGATAGGTAGATACGTTACCAGTATAGTAAGAAATTTGTGCGAGAATGTACAGTGTAAATATAAAAGAATAGCTCTACGTGTGGAAGAATATTGGTTTTAGTTCTCGTTAATTCTAATTTTAATGTTATAATAAGATATATTTTCACACTGCGCAGCTTGCAGTGCACGTAAACGGGGTTGAAAGTCTCTCAGTGTTAAAGGTCATGACATCACAAACTTTTGTTAAGCTTTTAATTATTATTGATTTACTTTGTACATCATTTTCTAAAATATTCAGTAATAATTGTTGTGTATTGTACATAATGACATCTGCCTGCGCCCTGGCGCACTGAGGATATTAGAGCTATCATAAACAAGAAAAATAATGCTAAAACTAAATTTAAAAAAGACCCAGACAGATATCGTGACAACTACGTGCGCATCAGAAATCTCTGCAATAAGATGTGTAGGGAGGCCCAACGTCGCCACATCCATAAATCTGTTGAGAATGGAGATCCAGCAAAAGTCTGGAAATTTCTTAAATCTTTAGGAGTTGGAAAAAAACACAATGAGAGTTCCACTAGTATTGATATTGAGAACCTTAATAGACATTTTTGTTCCTCTTCTATTGTTGTTCCTAATGACAAATTAAAAACACTGTATTATCTTTCTTCGCTTCCAACTCCTGATTACACTCCTTTTGTTTTCGGACAATTGTCCGATTGTGATGTTGAGAGAAGCTTACTGTCAATATCTTCTAATGCTCTGGGTACTGACAACATCAGTCGTGCTATGATCATGCGATATCCTGTTGCCAACTATTACTTTTCTCTTTAATAATTCATTATCCTCAGGTATTTTTCCTCATATCTGGAAAGAAGCCTTTATTATCCCCCTACCTAAAAAAAATATCCCCACAGTTTTTTCCGATTATCGACCTATATCCATTCTTCCCTTCCTTTCCAAAGCTCTGGAAAAGTTAGTACATCAGCAACTCAACTTGTTTCTGTCCAAAAATAACCTTCTTAATCCTCTGCAATCTGGTTTCCGCGCAGGTCACAGCACGACTACTGCTCTTGTAAAGATCTCTGATGATATCCGTTTCGGAATGGATAGCTCAGAGCTGACAGTTTTAACATTATTAGATTTCAGTAATGCTTTTAATACCGTCGATTTCGACATTTTGTTGCAACTGATGACTTCTCTCAACATAT